AAGTGGAGGAAGCTCAGATGGCAGTGACTTATGAGCGGCTGTGCAGCGCACGAAGCATTTACTGTCTATAATAAGAGAGAGATGGATCAGTGGTAGCAGAGCGCGAATTTACTAACCGGAAGGTCCGTGGTTCGAACCCGACCTCAGCCTCTCGACTTCCTCTGTCTCGGCTTGGACGACCTGGCAGTATCCCAGCCCTCGTGCTTCCTCCGGTTGGCATGGCAGCTAGGCACCGGAAGGGTGTTACAGCTGAACGATTATTACTATTATTAATAATAGAAGCTCTTCACTCTCGTGAGCAAGGTAGCGTTTGCGGTATCCGACCCTAACCTTCTTAGTTAGCATAGTAAGCACCTTCCCCCGTAAGAAATTCCACACTGGTACATTATATCGGGGGTTGACCACAGCTATGAGCGTACAAAACTGTTTGGTGGACTCTCCCACTAAGACACCCATGCCATTGTATTCGGACAGTAGTTTTCGACTTTGCGCGGAAAAATCAAACTCAACTTTGAATCACGAAGTAAGCACTTCTGCACTGGCACCGTAGATAACGCTGGAATGTGTAATACACTACTCATAAGGTTGCTAGGAATTGTTCGACATCATAAGCGAGAGATTTAGCTGGGTTCCAGTGGGGTCTCTCACAAAACTGAATTAGTTTGTAAATGAGCGTATTTCGCTAACACTAGAAGTTTTGTCAGGTATCAGCGGTGTTTTATGAGCAAAGATGATTGGTAATCAATGTACAAAACCATTCTAGAAGCCTGAGAACATCACAAACGAGAGAGTCAGCTGGGTTCCAGGTGAGCCTCTCGAAAAACCAAATTAGTTTGCAAATGAGTCTATATTTGCTGATTTCGTGCAATTTGCTTTCAAGTAGAATATAAGGTTGACGGAAACCCGGGGACTGCGCCTACCTGATGAGCCCCAAAAAGAGCGAAACCGGTCGTGGGTGGTCGACGGATTTTCAGCAACCTTATGAGTGGTACATTACAAAGATATACATGTATCGCGATATCTCGAATGTCGTAGCGACTTAAACATGAGGCGGCCTGGTGCAGCACATTCAGTTGCCTGAGAACATTACAAACGAGAGATCCATCTGGGTTCCAGGTGGGTGGCTTGGTTGGTTTTGTCTAATTCTGTAGACTGAGACAGGATCTCATTCTCACCGACAGGTGCCAATTCCGAATTATAGTCGTGCATTGTCACAACCTCCCTCATTCGGTCGATGGGTACAAATGATCCTAATGCATAGATCGAATTTATGGTATGCACAAAGCTATTGAGGCGACCTCTTATTTTAAACTTTCACCGGTTTTGATCAGTTCAAAACACCGCATTTTCATCAGTTTGCAATCAAAACACCTGTCCCCTCACACTTTAGGTTACGCGTCCACCGGATGAGTTCCAGCCAGTGTGGCTTTGCCGTGCGATCTAAAATAAAACGGCTCAAAAACCGTGAGGTGTGACTGCAGGTAGCACATAGTCAGTTTTTTCTATAAAAGAATGGGGTGCGACTCAAATCTTTTATGTTCGATCTGCTTCACCAACCAGAACATGTTTGTGTGACCCTGTGGGCAGTGTGGCTCGTGCGATCTAAAATAAAACGGCTCAAAAACCGTGAGGTGTGACTGCAGGTAGCACATAGTCAGTTTTTTCTATAAAAGAATGGGGTGCGACTCAAATCTTTTATGTTCGATCTGCTTCACCAACCAGAACATGTTTGTGTGACCCTGTGGGATGCTAAATCGATGTGTGCAAAATCCTCAGCGGCACAAACGTTTGAGTGTACGTTTGTTACTATCCGAAGGAAAGAAGTCAAGCTCTTAGAACAGTAGAGGCAGCATTGCTCCCCACTGCCCCTCCCACCAAGCTCTTCAGTAGAGGCAGCATTGCTCCCCACTGCCCCTCCCACCTCCCAAAAAACATGACATAGTGCACCCTCCCCGGAAAGAGCCATCTAGCCGTTTCTCCGTGGTGGTCAGTTTTGGAGACTACGGCGTTTAGAGGTGCACTCGTTTGTTGCTCATCGTTGGCCAAAAAAGCTGTTCTGCTGACCAGCCTCAGTGGCATATTCATGAAGCACATGGCTGACGAAACGGAACCCTTTACACAAAAGTACCTTGCTCCTGGGTTTGATTCGGTCACTTAGCTGTCGTGGATAGCCTGGACCGACCTCCCACGATGGTGAGTCCATTTGAAATGCCCAACGATTCACGCGCTTCACCACACCTGGTTCGTAGTCCATTTCAAAAGTTAGGCTATCACAGATACTTTTTTTCCAGCGAAGCTCCAGAAGTAGATATGACCGAAACACCCTGGCACTAGGCAGGTAGACGCGACAGGCTTTTTTGTTTTGTTTTTGGTCGGTCCCGAGTTGTTTATGTGACACCATGGCGTTGCATCGAAGATCGGTCTCATCGACGCAACCTACCACAAAACTGAGTTGGCTTTGAACTAGGCGGTCAAATACCAGTCCTTGTTTGGCTTTGTGTGTAGAGAAAAAGACCGTTTAGGTACCTTTTTTACGTGGCCCCTGATGAAATTCAAAAAGAAAACAACTGATGAAATTACAAAAACGAAGTTGTACATCGGTCGAGGCAAAAAGCAGCAGAGCTGTAACGCTTACCATCTCCCGAAGGGTTTTCTCAGTGTCCTTGCGGACGTTAATCAGACGGCATGGATCACAGGGGCAGTTTCGGAAAGGACAAGTCTTTTTATGTCCTTTCCAAGTGACAGCAAGCGAATGATTACGACATCTTCGACAATGAGGCCCGGCAGTTGTCGGGGAAGGCTTTGTTTTGTTTGTCCGGTTCGAACTTGGTGTGTTAGGTTCTTGACCATCGCTTTGAGAAGTTGCGATAGCCAGCGTGGACATGGCCAGTCGGGGTAGGTGCAATGACCGTTCAAAGTTTGCCAGTCTTCGACCCAGAGACCGGTCCTCAAATGAAGTGAGATCGGATGATCGAGTCGCCTGAGCCCATCTATCACCATCGCTGCCGTTGCAGGCAATGGCTGAAAAATTTGGGCGGTCCCCGCGCAACGGATCGGAGTTTTCGGCCTGGGAACCATTGTGCTCTCTGGACGATGTTCCTTTTTGATCCCGATAGAGTGCAATTTGTTTGGCCACGACCTCAACAAAAAAACAGTAAAGTTAAGTCTCACTGAGTTAGGGGAAACAAAAATTAATGTGATAGAACTACTGCAAGAAAGACAAGCATTTCAAGGTCAAATTTACCGCCCACTATCTGGCACTGATACAGTAATCAACCAATGACAATGGGTTTCGTAAACGTGCCTCACTTCGGCTAGAACTGAGTACTGCTCAGCGTTAAACGAGTGAAACAAGCAATCATTTTTTAGTCACAGCGTACTGGAGTTTAGCGTAGAGAAGAATTCAGGTGAGAATCAATTGTACTGGCTTGGTTAAAAAACACAAGCCAACTCGAACTCAAAGCAGCCGAGATTCTTCCGCGATCACGATCAAAATGCCAAAGCCCGTTGTGTTCTTCAGCTGTTTAGTTCACTAATTCACATGCGGTTTGGGCAAAACAGATATATTAAACATTTGAAGAAAGAGAACCAAGGGAAGGAGGGGTTCGAGCTTTTCATGGCATCTCTTCAAAGTGTTTGCCGGAGTGGAGGGTTGCGACAGATCGCAGTTGGTGGAAAAAGCCTTCGTGGATTCTCCAGAAGGAGGGTTTATTTTCTCCATTATCCTTGACAGAGTTTTTTGGTGATGGGACCTACAGAGGCCTCACATGTGAACTGACGATCATAACCCTGAGTGACCCAAATGCAGCTTCAATTTTACTCCCGAGGAACATTCGTTTCATCAATCACAAGTCTTCTAACATAGAGAAGGCGCCTGACGGCCACTTTACCCATCAACCCCGTAATGCAGCTTATCAAGATATCTGGATTTCTGTGTTGATGAGACCAGGATTCCGGTGACCTTTAGTAGAACTAAGCAGCTCAGTTGACAGCTTACTCGATCGATAGGCGAGAGGGTTCGAACTCAAACCTAGAACTTCTGTTTTTCCCGAATTATTGTAGACGGATGGCGGCAACCCACCGTTAGGCATCCTGGCCCCTGTTTGTTTCACTCCCGAGTGTAGTAATGACTCTAGTCTCAATAAAATTAGGCATATCCTGCGTTTGCATTGTCCTTACTCAACTACTGAAATCCAGTTGAGCCTCTTGGTCACGAAAACGACTCTGCAGTTGACGAGAGAGTTTTCGGAAGATAACCGCGACACCCTCCCACGAATTCAAATGGAAGTCCGCACAATACTGACGTTCAGAAGTTCGACGAAGGACTCTTCACTGATGTTAACCAGATTGAACTGTCATTCCCTTAGTCCAATTCCTTCTGAAGTAACATCGTGGGCCATTGATGAGTTTTCAGCAACCTTGCGATAGTTTCCTTTATGAAAAATTGTTGCCAGTCTATCCGCCTTGTTGGACTGTTTTACATAACAGACAATGGTAGTCGCATTTTGTTCTAGTCACTACAAAACATTGAATTCACAAAAATGGAAACTACCCATCTAAACGTAACATACTACTTATACGGTTGCTGAAGAAGGCCATCATAGACTAGAGGCTAATCTGCATTCAGTCGAGTTTCTCATTGGTGTGCAAATGTGAGTAGTACTTACTTTACGACCTTGGTCAACCAGGTGGCACTTGAGACATGTGCAATGCATATAGGGACAGGCCCGTTTGTGACGCTTTACGGGGATATTATGCCCATGTGTTTTACACTTTCGGCACATGTATGATGCACGGGAACATGCCAGTGCGTTAGACCGCATTGTTATATTGGTCAGTGCCCCCGAGTCTCGTCGTAGGTGGTGATGGTTTGATGAGGAAGACCTCTGTCGACTTGTGTTGGACTGACCAGAAGGACGCGTGTTAGCTAGTGCGACAGAGGAGAGCATCAAGTCAGAATTTGAGAACGGCTCGAGTTGAGAGTTGGGGAAAGGGTGATCAGGGCCTCGGGAAGTGTGACTCAACGGAGTGGAATCAACTGGGTCCGGACCACCAATACCGGTCGGAGACTCAGGCACGGAATAGTTGAAATTGGTCAAACAGTTGGGGTAGAATGGCATAGAGGTGAAACTGAAATCCGACTGCCCTCCGTTGCAAATGGAAAACGGATGAATCCCATTGTCTGTTGTGCCAAGATGAGGAATGTTGGGTGTTGGATTCATGGGTGGGTTGGAATCGAGTAAAATCTGAGATCGACAATCAATGCGAGTGAGCTGTAATCACTTTCGACGGGCTTGTTCCAACTGGATGTCTGTTGGATTCAATGGGAAACATTGAGGACTGGTAAGGAACGTTGAAATGAAATAGTAAATTATGAATAGCAAATTATCTCGACAACTTAGTAGTTGGAGTAATACTAGAATAAAAAACAGCACGTAAATTATATACCTATGTTGACCTCCGCCTTGGTTGGCCTTAACACGGCAGACAAACCTGACCTGAAGGAAAAATTCGTTCTTTTCATTATACGTTAAAAACAGGAGTTACGTGAAACGGGGATAGCAACTGTAACCCATGTCCATTACGTCTGGCTTTTAAAATAATATACAGACGAACAAACGTCACAGCTGGGTGACCAAGGAGGTCTAGTTCCAAGGTCACCCAGGCATCAGCCAATCAGAAGACAGGTCAAGCAATGGGCCATTACGGATGCTCATCCAAAGGATAGATGATCAGTCAAGGTCAACCTGGGTGAGTAAACCCTATTTTAATCCATTCACTTGTAAAAACTACTCACCTCCACTCGCAACGCACTGATGACGTCACGCTAACTGGTGATGGAACGTCCTCAACCAAATTGCCCAGCTCAGCGAACAAACCAAAGGCCATCTTTACAACCTGAGCAGAAACCCACTCTAATAAAAGATTTGACCAAGCTATTCAGCATTAAACCGTCAGTTGCTTTTCAGTTATTGGAGTCATTCCCTTAGTGTTAGCAGATGGAGGGCCCACACAACATGCGTTTGATGCCAAATCTCCCTCCTCTCTCCTTACCACGGGGACTGGTAGTTGCTCCCCTCGGAGATTCCTGAACTATCGGTAGTTTAGCTGTAGCTTAGGTATCTTAGCTTAGCTCGAGGTAGCTCAGTGATCAAGGTCTGTGGTTCGAACCCAGCCTCTGCATCTCGAGTGATCCCGTCTAGGGTTGAGCAACCTCACGGGTTCTCAGCCCTTATGCTTCCATCGGGTGGCGCGGCAGCTAGGCAGTGAAAAGGTGCTATTAAGTGAGCTTGTTAAATGCTGGTTGGATCGAAGATGCGGCCGTTGCCTGCCGAAGATCGTCGGAGACTCTCTATGCTTGACAATAGATGCCTCCAAAGCGTTGGGTGACTTTGGTGGGAACATCACATGATTGGTGCTAAAGTTCACCGGATGTCTTTGTGGAAAGTACACGCCCCCCCCCCAACTGGTTAGCTGGTCACACTCCATAGTTTATGATGGTTAGACCATGTACATCTTATGCCAGACAACCGCTTATCTTGTAGATCCTTCTTTACTCAGGCGAGTCTCGGATGAAGGCTATACAAGGGTGATCGATCCATGACAAAGCAACGAAGCTGAAAACCTTCGCTAGTCCACCCAGTCATCTTGGTAACTGCCCTCTCCCCGGATAAGGCTCGAGGGGAGAGACAAACGAATGGCCGGTGAACCCGAAAGATACGGTTGCTATGCCGCAATGCCATGTAGGATGTCAGTTTTAGCGAAATACACTCACTTGTAAACCAATCTGGTTTTGTGGGAGACTCACCTAGAACCTAGCTGAATCCCTCGTCTATGATGTCGATAAATTTTCAGCAACTTTATAAGTAGTGCATGATGTCAGTTTTTTTATTGCACATTCAACTGTCGATTATCCGACCGTCTTAATTGAAGTCCGGCCCATCTCTGTTATTCACTTTTATGTGAATACGTTTTATCTTCTTAGGTAAAAATTACAGGTTCTCGATAAAATTTATGACATTGGTCATAAAATAACCGGTGCTCTGTGCGTGTGACACGCCTTCCAAAAGCAATCAAACCCGGGAACAAAAAAACCAACCTTTTTCCACTACTTCGAAAAAGAAAAAAACCCAACTTGATCCATATCTGGACCGGTGCGGGGATGATAGCCTGGCAATTTTGAGCACCCGCTCACACCGGGAAACAGGTGGGTGGAGGGGGGCTGGACGGTGGTTGGTTGAGACAATTTACCCCGGAAGATGAGGGTAACCGAAGCGAAAGAACAACCATGCCGGCTGGTACAGTATTCACCCTCGTTAGGAAAGCAGTAAGTTCTTCCTAAGGAATTTCGCGCGAGTATTAAGCTTCTACGCCTCCAATGAATTTTGTTTTCATTTTTTTAAAATGGAGAAAAGTTTATGTTGAAACTTGGAAGACGGATAATTAAGATATTACTTGGGTCAGAACGGTGATTTCCACGATGACATGTCTTCCAATACCGATGTTCATTCTAATCCATCGTTAGAAGTTATGTCAGTAGTGTATTGAGAAAGTGACTCAAGTATTGGACACAGAACATTCCTTCATTCGTCTCCATTGGTTGAAGCAAGAGCCGCTACGCTGTTCATCGATTGATTCGTCCCTGGTTGGTCACGGAGGTGGCACGCCCGCAAGAGAAGGCCCGAGGAAGCGGCTCGTGACCAAGGCTACGCGCAAAAGCGCACCAGCCACCGGTTGTGTGAAGAAATCTCATCGCTGCAGGCCTGAGGCGCCCAAGAAGAACAGTTCCGGCTTATCACCGACCCTGGAGACTACTAAATACCGCGTCTCGCTCATGATACCTAAGTTGGATTCAAGTAGAACATGAAGTTTACGGAAACTCGGGGACTGTGCCTACCTGATGGGCGAGACTAGTCGTGGGTTATCGAAGAGTTTTTGGCAACCTTATGATTAGTGCATTCCGTTAAAACAAAAAACCCAACAGGCTGAGATTGCTGGTAACAGGTTTGGAGTCGATCGCTCCAGCTGAAACGACAACTCACATAACCTAAGTAGTCATGTCAACGCACATCCAGGCCGATCGATTTTCTATTCGCACCATAGTGTGCTGATCACTAAATTCAATCGATTTTCGTTTTCCATTGAGTCTGTTCCTCAGACACAACGCACTCCGCTGTAAAAGTCCAAAACCGGATCTCTCTGCCCTCGTTATGACATCGATTTATTGACAATTTAGCCTGGATTTCCTGAAACAGATAACTGAATGCTTGCCAAAAGGTTCAATTTTCAGCAACCATGTGAGTAGTATGTTACGTCTATCAACTATTATATTAATATTAGGTGCATATTATTACAAAGAAAAGAATGGCAAGTGGTAAAACGATGGGATATGAAGTATTGACTGATTCAAGTCTTCGTATACAGCCATAATTGGCAGGTTCGAAATAAATCATCAATTTGAACTTTCTTCACCGCCAAGCTTTGATTTGGTAGAAGATACCTATAGAAAAATCCCCACTTCTTCTACGCTCCCCCTCCTTTGCAGATTCCGATCGTCCAATCACGTAGACCGCATCGGTCATGTGCTTGCAAAGATGTGCGTTCTGGCACCGCGTAGTTTGTTTTAGTTAACTGATAGGCAGTTTACCTTTAGTTAAAGGTGATTTTGGAACTCGCGTTCACATCACTCTCATTTGAACACCCCTTCTCTTGTCCACAGGGAGCAGAAATGATCTAAAGTTTCGCTCTGATTAGAGCTCATCAGCAGTGCATATTCTTGGCCGGGTATGTACTCCGGGCATGTGTGTACTTTCGTTCTATCGACTGTGAGGCTTTCTTTCGTCAACAGTTTGCAATCATGAGATGAGATGTCACTGTATATTTCCCCGAAGAAACACCATCTACAAGGTTGCTGGAAACTTTCGGCAACACACGACCGCTTTTACACTTCCTGGGGCTCATCAGATAGGCAAAGTCCCAGAGTTTCCCTCAACCTTATGTGCTACCTGAAGTTCTGCTCATCTGCTCTAAAGGGTAACTCAACTGAGTCCCAGAGATACGGTTCAGCGATATTGCGATACTATTCGGATGAACATGTTGCACACAGGTCGCTCCATACTTTTCTTGGTCTAATATTTGTCCTATCAAGAAGGTATCAGTTGCTTTCAGATATCTGATACAGCAGAAGCTCCGACCTCCCCGTATGCGCATAAGCATGTACCAATCACATGTGACCAACCAAGTCGACCTGGATTGACCTCATTGAGGCGTTAGAAAACAGAAGATATTGGCGGAAATTTGTCGAAAAGGATTAATTGCACGCCAGCGCTTCAACCGCTCCTCAGAGTTATCCCTGAATTCGTGAGTGAAAGTCTCTCCTGCCAGTCCATTTAACGCTTGGCCAGTCGGAAGGGTTATCGATCGTCCGATTCACCATTTTGCTAACCACCCACTTCCGCTCTCCTGGGGCTGATGCTATTACCACAACCTCGTAAACAATTTCTCGTTAGTTCGTCCCATACAAATTGAACCTGCACTATAAATACCTCATTTTCGACTGTATAGTTATATATATATATATATATAGTTATACATAGTCGCTAAATGACGCTTTAGGTATCACTGGTTTGTGTCAACAACACTCTCATCACATGCATGTAGAGACCGGGTAAGTCACCGGGGAATATTTTGAAAAACGTCCCACCTTGGGCAAAGACGGAGTGCGGCTGGAACAGACACTCAAAAACGCTGCTACAGTGTATATGAACCAAATTAAGGTTCTATTTGTTACTAAAGACCTACGGGGCCTTTCATGAACTCCTCACAGTTCATAAAAACGAAAAATCGAAAAGTTGCGGCAATAGTGATATTCCCTGGGTTTCTTCAGCTGCAACTACAAACCAGCAACAAGGACTGACGTATTACGCCAACCTCGTAAACATAGTTCGCTAAGCTCAGAATCGAGTTGTCTTGGCCCTTCATTCGTGTCGAGACTGCGGTAGGCACAAAAAAACCCTGCGCACTATAGGGCCGAAAAGTGGTGCGCCGGCCGGGAATCGAACCCGGGCCGCCCGCGTGGCAGGCGAGCATTCTACCACTGAACCACCGGCGCATGAGTGGGGTCGCAAATTAGAATTCATGATTGGTAATTAATTCCGCGCCTTTCAAAAGAAACATGTGGTAGCTATCCTAAACTATGTGGAACCAAATTTTGCATACTGCACTCCCAATATAGTGTTGGTGAAGG